TGAGCTGAGGGATGCAAGTACCCGCAGAATCTACAAAAGACGAGGGAATGGATTCTCCTCTGAGTCTCTAAAAGCAGCATAGCCCTGTCAACCAACCAACAACCCTGATGTTAGCCGAGTGAGACCCTTTGCAGGCTTCTCACTTCTGTAACTATAAAATAATAAATTCATGGTGTTTTAAGCTTCATTAAGCTTTTGATGATTTGCTAGAGCAGCGATAGGAAACTAATGCTGTTGCTGAGAAAGAAATTCATGGCTGTCAGCAATGGGAGACTAAGTTCAGCTACGAACAGTTTATATGGGTACCCAAAGTGAGAATTAGCCCTGGGCTTCTTCCTATTCTGATTACACCTAGTAGAAAACCCTGAAAGATTTGGAGGGAACAAGTTTCTCCGAATTTTAAAAATGATCTACTGGTTATTTTAAATGCAAGATGAAACTGAGGAATAGTTAGGATATTTGTGCTCAAGTAGGCGTCACATCCAAAAATTATCTTCCATGAAATATGGAAAAGAAGACAGATATAAAGCAATGGAAATGATTATCTTAGAACATTGTGTTCATAGGAAGGTGGTACGTGTGAATTCTTCATTTATCCACTTGAGTAATATTTATTACGAGCATCTACTATGTGTCCAGTTCTCTGAGAATACAACAGTTCAAAACACTCTGGTAATGCTTTTATGAAGCCTAGCATCTTCACAACTCCACAAACATACTCAGGGCCATTCACCTGGAAAAATATCAAATCTCAGGGCTGGAAGCAACTGCAGAAATAAACCAGTCAAAATTCTGTTTTGTAGATGGCAAAATGAGACCTAAAGAAATCAATTATATTAGGTATGTAAGTGTATATGTGCATATTAGTTTATAGTCTAGGACAAATAATTTAATGTAGTGGAGTGCTTTTCTCATAAGTTGTAATAAGACACTCTTCTAGTTAAACTATTTGTCCTAGGCTGTAAAACTAACTCCTGGAGAAGGTAGGGCCATACTTGGCCTTTTCTTGAGTTCCTGGTGGCTATTTCTTTGATTGAGTCCATCATGGTGACCCTTCAGAAGCAAAATCTTAGTCCAATCTTCTCAATTACTGGGAAAGAAAATTCAGTCCCAGGCATGTTATAGATCTAATGAAGTGGGAATCTGTCATCCCAGTGGGTTACCTGGAAGGTAGAGAAGAAAGGAAGCACAGAGAGGATGGCCTGTGGCATCCTGCTGAGATGTCCCTCACTTTCTGGGAAGGAAGCAGCTAACTGCAGACTCCGGATGCCTGTGCCTAGACACAGTGGGAAGGGTGCAGCATTTTGGTGCAGGTGTGTTGCTTGCCCATGGTTAGCCTGGTCAGCCACCTTTTCCCAGGGCCCGAAGTCCAGGGACCCTGGCATGGAGCACCAGCCTGTCTGCTGAGTTTCTACTTGTCCTCCCCAGAGAGCCAGAAGGGAAGTGCCCACGTTCCTCCACAACCCATGTACTGGCTATACCCCAGAGGACCCAGAGTCCATGTTCCCAGCATCCCCTCTTCCTGAGTCTCCTCTTTCATGCCTAACATGCCACTTTTACATTTCGAGGAGAGTCTGGGCCCCCAGAATCTCAAGAGCTGGATGGGATATTGGATGGAGAAGCAGAAAGCGTTGATCAAAGACTGAAGGGAGGGTTGCCTGATGGCATTCAGAATGCCTAGTTCAATCTGGATTTCAGATAACAGTACATCCTCAATATCACAATATGCTAAAAATAAATCATTGGTTATCTGAAATTCAAATTTAACTGGGCTTTCTTTATTTTTATTTACTGAATTTGACAACCCTAAATTTGTAGGGGAAGGAGGCAAGGTTCTGGCAGATGTCAGAGTCTGACTTTGGGCTGTTGGGTGGGAAGAGGTGAGAAAGAGAAAGCAGAGGACACACACAGTTCCTTAGAAGCGAGACCCACTGATGGCCTGTCTCTCTTTGTTTGATCCTTCCTGCCTGGTGTCACACACACACAGTGTAATAATTCTTGAGTTCTGTTAACATGAAGATTAAGGTATTGGGGAAAATTGTTGAGAGTGATACTGATCACAGATATTGACAAAACAATAGTGAGAAGGTTCAAAACAATAAAAATGTGGTCAGTTGAAAAGGAACACTAATTATTGCATTTATGTGACCTGCCTACCATTTATGTCCAACTTACATGCAGCCCAATCACAATTTTGCTTGTTCTTAATCTTTAGGTGTTTTCAGAGAACCATAAAATCTTACCGAAGGGTCTGAGAAATTGCCTAGGCCTGCTTTGACATTTAGAGATTGAGTGATCACAATTCAGAGAGAAGTGACCAACCCAGGATGATGCTGCCTAATAATCAGAGTAATAGAACAATATTTCTGAGGGCTTACTAAAAAAGCCATTTTAGTAACACCAGTCATTTTCCTGTGTTCTACTTGTATTATGATATTTAATCCTCACAACAACCCTGTAATCAACCTCATTTTTCAAGTGAAGCAAATTATGTAATTTGTCTAAGATTCAAGGTTATTCAGCCAATAAGTAGAGGGTGCCTTCTAAAACCCAGCTAGTGTGGTTCCAGATTCATATACTCAACCACAAAATGCCATGGCCTCTCAAATAAGCTTATATCTCTAAACATATTAATATGCATAAACTTTCATACTTTACTACTCCTGTAGCATGATATCATATTTAATAACAAGGTCATTCAAACAGAGCTGATTGAAAGCGGGTTGAGGGGCTATTGCCATACATGTCAATTTTGGAGTCAAAGCAGTTATCTGCTCACTTGTAAACAAGCCTTACAACACAAGGAGTCTTGCCATGATCAGAAAATAATTAAGTTTCATCTGTTTTTTGAAATAGTTTGAGTGAAACACGTAACACCAGGGTCCACTATCAAAGCAAAGGTCAGTAGTGAGGTAGACTTCTCGGAATTTACATTTTGGATAGCTCATGAAAGAAAACACAGAGAAGGAGAGAGAGAAATCAAAACAGAAGAGGCCTCCTTATCCATTGTTAGCCACAAAATGAACCACACTCTCTTAGGAAGAGACACTCTCTCTGGGAAGCGTGCTGCCCGCCAGACTTCAGGTGAGGGACGCTATAGTTGTAATTATATCCAGGAGGAGTAATCACCAACCTCCATGTCACATTTGCTTAGTTTTACATTCTGCTTATTTTTCTCCTCTATCTTTCAGATTATCAACCCTTGCATCTCTGATAACCAAACCACTCTGTGCATTTCCAGACCCCAGCTTTGCGGTCTGTCAAAGGTGGAGGGTTAATCATGCCTGTCTGCTTTGATATCATGTCTTCTTTAAGCTACCATTCCTCTAACACAAAAGTCTATCCAAGCTTTAAAAAAAACAAAAAACAAAAAAAGTGAGGTGGCTATTGGAATTCTCAGAAGCTCCAAGGTCTCCCTGGGAGACACCAGAACTCTACCAATTCACTCCAACAGGAGTAAGAGGCCCTGCAAACTGTGTCTCCCCTCTCATCTGCACTTTAGCTGAAGCAATCACGCCTCTGAGAAGTCTTTTGCACCTCTACTTCCAAGTACCTAACTAAATCATTTTAGACACAAACCAGCCCCGGCCCTGCTCTCCGCAGAAACTGGGGATGGTGCATCTGAAATGAGAGCAGCTTCTTGCAAAAACAAATCGACGTCCTCACTTCCTCAGAAAGGTGGCAGTATTGCCTTGCGGCTTTGACCAAATTACAATGCAGTGGCAATGTCTAGCGGATTAATAGCCCCACAGCCTCACCTCACCAGGGAAAAGAGAGGAAGGCTTAATCCGCTGAGAACCCAGGGCCTGGCAGGCTCGCCCTGGAGCTTCAGGGGTACGAAGGCTTGTGGCCACATCAGCTCTGGAGTTTTTGACTCGCTTCAACAGCACAGAGCCTGAGAAAACCTCAGTTGGACCCCCACCCCAGAGAGAGCAAAGCCAAGGGCGTCTCAGGAAGTCACAGATGACCCTTACTTTCAGCATCCACACTTCCTTTCCCATTTTTCAAATAGTCATCTCACGTGAAACAGTGAGTGATCCCATTTGGAAAACTGAGGAAACCATAAGGACTAGGCCATCATCCTTCTAACACCTGTCATGTGGAAGGTTCACATCAGAGTTCTCCTAAAGTAATCCGTCTTCTAAGGAGTCCTGCCATTTATTGGGCGGTTGTTCACACTTTCACAAAACCAATATGAGAGCTACTGAGAGAGAACCCAAGGAGGCAGGTGTCTCCCTGTCTAAACGTGCAGGCCCGCCCACGCACGCCTTCCAGGGGCGCGGACACCAGCCCTTGCTGAGGACCAGCTCCGATGCCCATGTCTCCCTTCCACTCACCTTCACTCAGCGTCCTCTGAGAAGTTTCTTTATGCGCCACTAACAAATTTGGGGGAAAATTCCCCATTTATAAATATCAGATGGTTTGGGAAAAAATATTTGTGGCACTGGAGTCCTTTTTTTTTTTTTCCTACAGTGATGTCATTTTAAATATTTGGTGTGCTCCAAATTTTCTATTTTTACTTCCCCCAAGTGACTTTTTTGGGAAATACATTTGTTTGGATCAGCTACATTTTAAGCAACCCTGTATCTATTAATAGACAGCCTCAGGTTCATCTTCTCAGTGATTATAACTGATAGGAGGCAGCTCTCAAACCTGAAATCCCTTATTTGTTCATCCTCAAAGGGGCTCCTTTTGGATGCGCCTCTCCAAAATTCTTACTCACAGATACATAGAAAATAAAAATAATAGAGGAAAAGAAGAGGATCGGTCTTTTCCACAAACAGAAAAATCGCACTCAGCAACTCAAAGCAGTGAGAATGGAAGACGTTAAAAAAGCCCCCCCAAAGGCAAGTAAAACTCTTCACTTCCAAAATGTGCTTTTGGGAAACAGATCTGAAGTAGCCAAGGCAGGCTTTGAGACATTTATTTGGAAAGCAGTCCAGAGTGGAGACGCGCAGAGAGGAAAGTCGAAGAAGGAGCGCTAAGTGTCTCAGCCCTACCTGATCTGAATTTGCTCCTAATCAGCAAAGAATGCTCAGATCCCAGGAGTGTCATGTTGAGTCTCAGCGAGCCGCTGGTCCCTTTGCCAGACGCCCCCTGTTTTCCACCAGGAACGGGCTCCCGGGAGCCCAGCTGATCGCAGCTAACACCCCAGAATTCATCCAACTCTCCGTGAGCTCCCCCGGGTAGCACAGAGGCAGCCAGTGACGGAATGCGGGGTCCCCAGAAAACGGGAGGCTACCCCCGCGCTGCGCGGGGCTAGTTAACTCTTAGCCGGCAGGGCCCTCCTCCTCCTCTGCTTTTGGCCCGGACCCGCGGCATCCCGGGCGTTGTGGCTGATGTCATAGGCCGCCGGCGATTGCGGAGTAGCACCACCGCGCCTTTATGAAGGTCCCAAGTTTGCTATCTGATCCTTTTTTACTACTGACAGCAGCGCAGCCAATCAGGAGCGGCGAACGGGCACCGGGGACCCGAGCGGCCGAGGAGTCGCGGGAGCCGGGTCTTAACTCTTTGCGGCGGGCCGCGCGGCCGCCGAGCGCGGGGGCGGGAGGCAGGCCCGGGTCGGGCCCCGCGGGGCAAGTGACGCGGCCACGGGGAGAGGCGCGCGGGCCGGCGGGCGGTGCGCGGCCGGGGCGGCGCCGCAGCTCCGGGCCTGGGCCTGGGTGCGGGGCGCCGCCAGGGCTTCCCCGGGTCGGCGGGGATCTCCTACCGGGGTACGCGCGCCTGCCGCGCGCGCCGCTCTGCGCAGGGTCCCGACCCCTGGGCAATCAACGAGGCTGCCAACCGCCCCAGTCACAACCTCTCTCATCCGGCTCGGGGACTCGCAGCTCCGGTATCAGACGTGGATGCAGGTGCTCTGAGAAAATTAAAAGCCTTTGATTTTCTGGGCTGTGCTTTACTTATTTATTTTTGGGACAAACCTGACTCAGTTGTGTGCAGATGCGGCCGCCCCTCCTGGGGATGGTACAGGAGCTGAGCGCCTTGCTGGGCTCTCCGTAGGGAGAGTCTCCGGAGCAAGGGTATGTCAGAGCTGAGGCTGGGCTCAGCTTGGACAGACTCAAGGCTTTCCTGTGAATGAGTCCCTCCTGGGGGAAATCCATTCTGACTCCGACACGGAGTTACGGCGCAGCGAGCACGTGCCAGGTGTTATAAGGCTCATCAGTAAATGAAATAGACCCTCCTCGCCTGCTTAACAACTGCGACACACCGAAAACACAATTCAAACCATATCTGTATGTAATGTGGGGTTGAATTTACTTGCAAGCTTACATGCATAAGGGTCCCCAGGTATCAACCATTACACACATGCCCAGTTGGATCCCAGGAGAAAGCTAAACCCTAAAAAGATCGGTGGGTAACAGATGGAGACTGATAGGGCAGTAACTCAAAGGACAACTTCTAATGCCCTAAGTTCAGACCTCTGCCCAAATTCGCTGATCCTTGAGGTCGTTGTTTGGGTCTGACCAGTGGTTTGTGTAAATTGTTTTCTGGGACAGACCATTTAATTCCTGATGTGTCAGAAAGGAGGAGGAGCAATCCCAGCCATATTCCTCTTGGGAATAGTGTCCTGGCCCTGGAGGCCTGCTTACTCACCCCGCCCACCTCCACGAGCATCTCAGTGATTATGTAACACTCCCATATAGAGTGCATTACTTTTCCAGTCCTGCTGTAACACATTACTGCAGGTATAGTGGCTTAAAACAACACAAAGTCATTACCTTGCAGTTCTGAAAGTCAGAAGTCCAAAATGGGCCTCACTGGGCTAAAATCAAGGTGCGATCAGGGCTCCCTTCCCTTCTGGGGGACCTGGGGGGAGAACTGTGTCCTTGGTCTTCCCAGCTGCTACAGGCTGCCCATGTTCTTTGTCTGATGGCCCCTTCCTCCACCTTCAAAGCCAGCATTTGTGGCAGATCAAGTTCTTATCACCTGTATGGCTCTGATCCCTACTCTGGCTTCTGTCTCCATCTTCCACATTTAAGGACGCTGTGATTATATTGGGCCCACCTGGGTAAACCTTACTGTAAGGTCAGGTGGGTGTTGACCTTTATTCCATCTGTTACCTTAGTTCCCCTTTGCCATGTAATGTAACACATTCACAGATTCCTGGGATTAAGAGGTGAACACGGAGGAGGGGCCATTATCCTGCCTGACACAGAGTGACCCCTCCTTCTACCAGCTTGCTCTTATTCTGTCAAACCCAGGCTCCTGCATTTCAGTGGAAAGAGGTCAAGTGCAGGGAGGTCTGCGAATAGGGCTGCGCAGGAGCCTGGAAGGACGCCGGCAAGCTTTGAGACGCCTGTGGCAGGGAGGTACTCTGCAGGGAAGAGATTGGTGGGATAAGGAATATTGCTAAATTATCTGAGTAGAGAAAAAACGATTCTGAGCAACATAAAAAAAAAAAAAGACAGATTTTTATCCTGAGGCCTGTAGGGCTGAGAAGAGATACTTGGCAGCTTGGCAGATAATTATTTTTCAGTGAAAGTTGTGATGAAAAAAGCTGAAGCCAGCATCGAATGTAAGGGTCTGCATGACCTGGATGAGTTGGACAGGAGTAAATTGTTTTCCCTCTGCAAGCCTGAGGGAGCATATTTATGTGTATGTGTGTGTGTGTGTGTGTGTGTGTGTGTGTGTGTGTGTGTGTGCAGGGGAGCCTAGTTTCTTTTTTGAGTGCACTAGGGAAATGCTGGTAAACCATAGCTCTCCTCAATTTTCCCATCATAGCGTGGAGCTGCTGACGTCTGCCCTCTGGGATTTATACCCCCTATGCTGCAGAATATCCATGGATATAAATATGCTCATATAGAAATTCATTCTTTCTCCTCTCTATGCAAGCATTTTTGTGTGTGTGTGAAAAAAAATATTGGTGGGATTTGGAGAGGATGTTCCCAAGAGGGACAGATCTCCCAAGCTACTATGCTTTGGGAGCAGCAGGCTAATGAGGTAATGGTAGGCCACCCAGCTGTGTCCCACAGCTGCACCACATTGGCAGCACTGTTCCTGGGCCCTGCTAGCCCCTGACCTTCTCTCCTTAGGCCCAGAGTGACCCTGTGATGTGATGGTGTAGAGAACAGACATGAGCTTCCTGCATCAGGATGATCTTCATTTGAATCTAAGCAACCCTTGTGCCTGGAGTGAGTTGTTATAAGTCCTCTCAGACACTCAGCATCTTCATGTAAAATGAAGTTAGAAATGTGTACTTGCCAGCAGAGCTGGGAAGTTTAAATGCAGTAACACTCTTGGAGTGCCCAGTATAGCTCTTCACATTATGGTTTGGGTCCATCTTTTACCCTGACCTCCAACTATGCTCAATAATTCCGAGCAATCTAGACTGCCCCTTTGTTATGGCTTTCCCTGCCTTTGCATTTGTTATCTCTGCTGTGTAACAGATTATCACAAATGTAGAAGCTTAATTATTATCTCACAGTTTCCGTAGGTCAGGATTCCAGGTGAGGCTCAGCTGGCCCTTTGCATAGGATCTTATAAGGTTTCAATCAAGGTGTTGGCTGAGTCTGCAGCCCCATTAGAGGCCCAGAGTCCTCTTCCAAGCCCACTTGTTGGTAGAGTTCAGTTCCTTGCAGATCTAGAACTCATCATGGCTTGTTTATTTAAGTCCAGCAGGAGAATCTGTCTTTCGCAGGGAAGATGCTTTCAAAGGGCTCAACTGATTAGGTCAGACCCACCCAGGATAAGCTCTTTTTGATGACCTCAAAGTCATACTAATTAGGAATCTTAATTGTATCTGCAAAAGCTCTTTACTTTTGCCTGAGAACATAATCTAATCCCTGTAGTGATGGCAGTGGCCTCTGTCACTTCACCAGTCCCTAAGATGCTGAAGGGGAGAAGATTATACAAGGGTGTACTCATGGAGGGTCACTTAGAATGCTGGTGTCTATGGCTGTGGTCCTCCCTCCATCCACTGGGGAGCGAGTGTGTCGGTAGGTGTGAGTACAAAGCACAGCTCCAGTAGTCAGCTTGAACTCTGACCCCTTTGCTCTCTCCGCCATACACCCTGTCATGGAGCAGCATGATGTCAGCTGCTGGAACCTGGGACACAGCATGCTGAGCAGAGGGACAGCTCACCTATGATGACCTCAGGACCTCAGTTCATCCTTCTAAGTACAATCCCCTCACACCCCCGGATCCCCAGGACATCACTGTCTTCACGGGTCTCCTCATCTTCTCCCCCTCTGGGAGTGTTCCTGGCATCACCACTAGTCTGTTTTCTCTTTCACATGTCTGGTAGGCAACTCCAGGGAGCATTTGTCCCTCTTCTTCCATTCACTGACTATGCACTTAGGTAGGCAGGTCAGCTTGAGCAAGTGGCCTGGGAGACATACAGCAAAAAGGCAGGTTTGCAAACTCAAATGATAGGACCAGGGGTAAGAGAGAATGTGGTGGGGATGGGGTGGTGTACAGCAAACTGGAATGGTTTGTCCAAAGTGGGCGCCACTCCCTAGTGCTAGGGGACTGCAAGCATTCAGGTGGGCACACTGACAGTCCTTGCCGGTTGTTCAAACAAACTGGAAATTCGGGTTGTAATGTTCAAGATACTTGTTTTTAAAAGAGTGGGCAATCATCAATACTTTTTAAAAAAAGTTTTAAAGCACCGTGTGAGTTAACCAGGAGCAGTTCCAGGTTGTGGGCTCTTTAAAAATGAGTGCAAAAATAGAAATGTGATGGTTGGTGTACGTGTGACTATTAGATTGAGAATCACAACTAACGGGAGCATGGGAGACTCAGATCCTTCAACCCGCTGACCAGAAATGGTCCTGCAGAAATGCTCCCTAACTGCTTCCTCTTCCCACCTGGAACTCTCTAGCATTCTCAGCTACTCCCAGCACTCACAGGGCTGTTGCAAGTGGGGGGTCCAGAAGCTTAAGTTTCATAAATGTCATGGTAGGTCTATTTCCAGGGCCAATTAAATATGTCTACAAGTTGAATGAGACTCATCTGGCATGGTTTGTGACCAAGGCTATGAAATCCACTCTGCTCTCCAAGAGGTTTCCATCCAGACTCCAGGAGAGAGGGTGATATATGTTCTCCCAGGTTACCGATGGAAGGAATGACCTATTTAAGGAATGCAGCCTCAGCCTACCAATTTGTTTCAATCCCAGAAATAGTTATTAAGCACAGACTGTGTTCTAGCACTGTAGGGGTCATAAAGATAAAGCAGATACAATCTGGGACCTCGGAGGGCTAAGCACATAGTGACAGGGCAGCCATGAACTTCCCACAAACCAGAAATCCAATGTCATTGTTATACTAGTAATGTAATGAAATCTCAGATGGAACTCATGCGAGCCACCCTATTAATAGAACCTGTTTTCTTTCACGAAAGTGAGTATAAAAGAACTTTTGCCTAATTTAAACAAAGACTTTAAGTTAAACAAATGTAAAGAAAGTAGTTTTGGTTGAAAGTATCTGTCACGGCTCCTTCTCCCCCTGCCTGCTGGGGAGTTTCTGACCCTTTCCTCCTCTCTTTGTATTTCTCTATCCTTAACTCCTGCCCAAGGAGAGGGAACGCAGTGAGATCATTCTAATCTAAAGCCACTGGGTTGGACCACATTTACAAGAGGGCAGG